ATGGGGTCCCGACCCACAGGTTGAGAACCACTGCATTAGAGCCTGAAGTTCCCAACAGATACACAGGATTCCATTCCTTATCACTAACTGATCCATAACATTGCCATATAGGATAAGATCTCTTCAGCATTGTTGCCTAGATTCTGAAGCCATTTTCCCTAGAAGCACCAATGCTTTCAACGTTCAACAAACCTGTGAAAACTATTTTTTGAATTCATATTTTAACAGTATCATTTTTTAAATGTTAACCAATTAAAGCTTTATCTGATTTCTTTGGGCAACAAATATACAAAACCTGATAAAAAAAATTTGCACCATATAAATGTATTTGCAGACATGCCTTACTAGCAACTTTTAAATTTTTTACCAATTATATTTAAAACAGATCTATCGCAAACAATTTATGTGTGATAAGTATTTTAACAACCAAATTTAAGCATGTCTTAATGATACTATTTTAATTTGCTTTGGTTATTTATTCAATTTGTACCTGAAATACAAGGATTCTAATTCTCGTTAATACAAACATGCTGGCATTAAATTTGCATAACACTAATTTTTTTTTGGGGGGGGGGGGAAGGTACATGCAACAGTTGTCATTTTGAAAAAGAATTCTATCTGTCCAACAAAGCAGAAACCGGCTGCCAAATAAAACTATTTTAATTAACGATATGAACAGAACAGTTCTGACTGCATAACCTCACTAGAGTCCCAGTAGCCCTAAGCCCAGTTAAATATAAAAGCTCTGTATAAAGAGGCTCCACAATAGCGATTTTCCTACAAGAGAACTGTTTCCGCTTTCTGTACCATTGCTTCAAATTACTGCTCCTATTCAAACTGCGATGCCCCTCAACGACAGAAGGAATCATCGAGCAACAATTAACACAGATCAGAGGTATAAGATCTGGTAGTAGGAGCAACGGTTCGCAAGGTAATCGGGGAAACGACGCTGTGAACTGAAGAGACTTCCAGATGCGCTCTCTCTATCGATTCCAACCTCTCGGGTAACCGCGGGAGACCTCCGTCGCCCTCCGTTCGTTTTCAAGAAGCAACACCCTCTCTTCCCAAACTGCTTTTCTTGGCCCTTGATCCAACTCGCCTTAGGAAAACAAAGCAAGACCGCCGCCCGCCTCCATTGGCTCCGAGGCGTCACTGCTGAACGTGCGGGAGGCTTGGCCGCGGCCCTGTCAGTGCCGAGCGCGTTTCCCGCGTATCGTTATCTCCCAGGCCAATTCCACCCCCACACCCCCCCCGCCGCCGCCCCTGCCCCTCCCCACCTCCAGAGCGGGCGATGCTCCGACGCAGGCGATGAGCAAAGGCTAAGGACGTCCCCGCTTCCCCTCCTCCTCTCCCCCCCCCCCAACCGGCGCGGATCCTGAGGAAGGATAAATGCCCACCAGGGAGGCTCAATCCAGCGCCGCTCTTGGGGCCTTCAGCAGAGCCGCAGCAGAGCCGCAGCGCCGAGCGAGACGGAACCGGAAGTTCTGGTACATCCTGCCACGTGATGCGCGGCCCCTACGTCTGGCGGGCGCGGCTTGGGTATTCCTGTGTGTGTGACAGACAGACAGACAGACAGACCCACGTAAAATTAAGGCGGGCTGGGTGCTTCACCTGGAAAGCCGTGTTTGGGTCTCCCCCCTGGGGATGTTTTGTATTAAATGTTTTCTTTCTGACTTTTAAATCGACACGTAATGTATTTTGACATTGCATTATGCGTGAAGTGAGATCAAAGTTTTAGCAAATAATAATCTATATAAATAAAAATGTAAATGTTCGTTTGTTCAAAATGTTAAATCTCCGAAAGTTCTTCACCGATTGCTTTGAAATTTTGACACAACGTTGCATTCGAATACGCGCGTGTTTTTATATACCTACTATTATAGAGATGTCACACCTGTGACACAAACGTGCGCTTTCTCTTTTCTTTCTTTTCCATTTAACCAGACTGAGCCACAGCAACGCGTGGCCAGGTACAGCTAGTCGGGAATAATTTGAAAATGGGAAAATACAGTAATCGCCACTCTTAATCTGATGTGGCACTGAACTTCGACTAATATTTGCAAACGATCTCATCCCTGAATACATATAATTAATTTATCCACCCCTACCATTACAATCATTGTGAATGAATATCAAAACTTTCTAAGGCCATGGCTTTATAAATGTGGGCTGCATTGTGTTAAATCATCAAATCCTGAGAACAAAATGACATCAGGAATTATATTTTTGATATGTCTAGGGCAGGGGTCGGCAACCTTAAACACTCAAAAGAGCCACTTGGACCTGTTTCCCAGAGAAAAGAAAACAAAACAGTCGCAAAACTTCCAGTGTAGTGTATTTTTTAAAAAAAACTTTGGGAGCCACCCAACATTGGCTGAAAGATTAGTAACTATATAAATGTTTTAAATAAAATAAATGTTGGAGGTTGAAGTTTTCTCTATGTGAACATTCCTAAGGACAGAAATCTGATCTAAGCAATTTCTATTGAAACAGGTTACTTTGTAATTAAAACAAAAAAATAGATTTATTTAAGGGCAACTAGTCATAAGGATAGGCTAAGGCTACCACTTATATCTTACCAGAAGGTAGAATAACAGAGTTGGAAGGGACCTTGATGATTTTTTAGTCCAACTCCCTGTCCAAGCAGGAGACTTTATCATTCCTGACAAATGGCTGCCCAACCTCTTCTTAAAACTTGCAGTGATGGAGCACCTACAACCTTTGAAGGCAAGCTATTCCACTAATTAATTGTTCTCACTGTCAGGAAATTTCTTCTTAGTTCCAGGTTGCATCTCTCTTTGATAAGTTTCCATCCATTACTTCTTGTCTTGCCCTCAGGTGCTTTGGAGAATAGGTTGTCCCCCTTGTCTTTGTGACAGCCTCAAATGTTGGAAGACTAGTCCTTTTTGTTAGACTAGACATACCCAGTTCCTGCAACCATTTAATCAAATATTTTAATCTCCAGATCCCTAATCATTTTTGTTGCTCTTCTCTGCACTTTTTATTAGAGTCTCAGCATCTTTTTTGGAGACCAGAACTGGATGCAGTATTCCAAATGTGGGCTTACAAAAGCAGTATATAGCAGTACTAATACTTCATGTGATCTTGATACTATTTCTCTGTTGATGCAGCTTAGGATTGCATTGGCTTTTTGGGCAGCTGCTCATTCATACTTAAAAAGTTTTCTACTAGGACTCCTAGATCCATCTCACAGTTACTGCTGTGGAGCCAGGTACCATTTATTCTACACCTGTGCATTTGATTTTTCTTGCCTAAATGTAAAATCTTACCTTTCCCACCAGTGAATTGCATTTTCTTAAATAGGGTCCAGTGTTCAAGTCTGTCAAGCTCTTCCTGGATCTTCAGCCTATCTTCAAAACTGTTGGCTATTTCCCCAACCTTGGTGCTGTCTGCAAAGTTGATGAATTTCCCTTCTACCCCATCACCTAAATTGTTTATGAAGATGTTGAAGAGTATTGGGCCTAAGGCAGAACCTTGGGATACTCCACTGCATATTTCTCTCCATGTAGATGTAGTTCCTTTGAGGACTACACACATTGACTGCAGTTTGTCAGCCAGTTATCCCACATTTTTCTATCTTACCAGGAAGTAGGTTGTGATCTACTTTATCAAATGCCTTATTGAAGTCCAAGTATGCTATGTCTACAACATTTAGTCATTTTGTCAAAGAATGCAATAATATTTGTTTGGCATGGAGTGTTTTTGATGAACCCATCCTGGCTTCTAGTAATAGCTTTCTTTGCTTCCAGATCACAGATCCGTTGCTTATCTTTTCCAGGATCTTCTCAGGCATTGATGTCAGGCTGATTCGTCCATAGTTTCCTGGATCCACTTTTTCTTTTCTTTTTTGAAGATGGGAAGCACATGGAACCGGGAACAAGAAGAAGAGTCCAAAGGCATACGCGTCATGAATACATCACTAGAAAGAAAAGCAGAAGGATATGAATTATGATTAGCAGTCTTTTAAAATAAGGAGCAGGCAGAGTGATATTGCTTGTCTCTAGTTTTTAGCAGATCTTTTCCATTTTATGTATTTTTATTCTCTGTACAGCCTATATTTATGTCAGTTACTTGACAACATTTGCTAACCACCGTTTATTCTCTCTAATATACCTTGAGGACAGAGCATCCAAACTGAAACTTATTAACTGCTTATTTTCTTGTTTGAGTAAGCCATATCATAAATACCAGAAGCAATAACTCTACAATCCCACAAATATGCAGATAATGTCTAGGTATCATGGAAGGACACTAACTTGGACTTAGTATGAGAAAATCTGTAAGAGGCTTGCCTTATCCTAGGATTTTTTAAAATACTGAAATAATGAAATATCCTTTGTCATATATCAAACCAAGTAGTAGGATATAGAATGAAAACAAAAATAGAGTTTTGGCATTTTAAATACAACTATTTAACTGTAATAAAGGATGATGCCTTGTCTTATGTTCCCTTTTAAACCGACACACAAGATCACAATTATATTTGTTTTAATTGGTGCAAAGTTTTGTAACAATTCTTTAATGCCTAAAGAATATCTTCTTTGGAAGCAACCCCAGAAAAAAAATATTTCCAAGAAAATGTGAATGTGGTGTTCAAAACATCAAAATAAAAAGTGATATAAGATTTTTTAAAATTTCCCTTTGTCTATAATATGAGGCTAAAAATCCTGGCCCCTCTTCCTGTTGTTTTTTTTAAGATTAGAAATTATGTATTTGTTGCATGCTTAATCCCATATCAATTTTATTACATTTTCAACATTATCAAAGAGATTAAGAAGTTCTGAACAGAAGGGTGGTTTAAATCTATGTTTCAAATGTCGGCAGATGTGGATCGCTTTTTACTTCTCCGTTAGAAATGAATCTCACTTTTTGACCGTCAAAACAGCAAACTACAGAATTGTGGACTACAATCCCCAAGATGCACTGGGACCTGTGGTATTGAGAAAGTGACCTTTGAAAAAAGAGAAGTAGGTAGTTCACTGTACGCTCCTGGATGTCGCTGGAGAAGACAGAATCAGCTGGCGAGATTGAAAGCCCTGCTCTAGACTCCAATGGCAGAATTTCCTACGGAGATCGCTGCTGACTGAACTCCTTCTCCTCCTCCTCCTCCTCCTCCTCTTCCCCCGGAGCTTTACGTCCTTCCCCTTCTGCTCAGATTTCATCCACAACCGGAGAAGCAGACTTTCACTGACGTTTTCTCTGTCGACAGCTTGTTCCTGTCAAAACCGTAAGTACCCTTTATATTCCTGAACTGAAAGTGTAAACAGGAAGAAAAATACAGAGTTTAGGCCTGTTGGTAGTTGTCCTCAGTTTTGGAAATATTCTCAGCGCTGACCTAACTGAAACTTGCTACTGTGGCAGATGACAATGAAAGGCAGCTTAACTGAATTTCATGCAAATTCATCTCTTACGATATCCAAGTGATTTACCAGAGTCTGGAAATTAAACAGAGGTTAAGTTGTTATTGATGTGCTCCAATAGATTTTTCTCCAAGAATAGTGACAGCTATGATAACACATGGTGGAAGGAAAGTGAAGAGTACACATGCACAAACCATGTATTAATTTGAACTCACAGTATCATTTAGGAGGGAGAGAGTGTACAAAAACGCAAATAATTCCTGTAGAGAAATATGTAATTTAATTGTCTATCTTGAAATAATCTAAATTACCAAACTGGTTTTCAGGTTCTTTTTCATTTCCAGACAAATAACAATGTTATTTTGAAATATTTATAGAATTTATAGAATTATAGAACCTTTTAATTGGCAGCTCCCCCTCCTCCAAATTAACTGTGTAACCAGCTTTGGTATAAAGTGCAAAATGAGGGTGAAAGAAGAATTTGAACCAGTTCACATTCTTAGGGATACGCGAATGGCTGTTTGTATTTAGCAGAAAGTAATGAAACGAAGGATCCTTGATACTCTCTGAGCTTGCTTGTTTTCTTGCAGACATTTCATTACCCTAACTAGGTAACATCATCAGTGCTAAAAAGAGTGCTGTAAGTTTATATTCTGGTGTCTTGCCTGTCTGTGTGTGTGTGGGGGGGGGGAGTCTTAGGGATTCTTTGTTTGGACTGTTTACTAATGGCAGTTTCTTGATTGGGCATTGCTTACTTAATTGATGATCTGAAGTTGATCTTGGAGTTAATCTATGCTGAACTGAGTACTGATTACTGGTGGAGCGGTGCTGAAGTCTTTTTCTTTTTTGGACTGGTTGATTGTCTCTTTTGCATAGTCTATACTGGTTGTTAATGTCTACGTGTGTATTGCTGGTTGATTTGTCAGAGTGCCAGGCTTCTAGAAATTCCCTGGCATTTTTGGATTAGGCTTGGTCTAGGATTTGTCACATTTTCCCAATTGAAACTACCGGTATAGTTAAATCTGTCTATACGTTTTGAAATTAAAGAATTTTCGTCATGCCTTTTGACTGCCAGTTGGTGTTCATGGATGCATTCAGGTACAGAATTGAGAATGGCTTGATTTGCCACTGCTGGTAGCAGAATCTAATTGGGGACTGCAATTCAACTGGCGACAAAAAATCTGTAATTCAGGGATTCTTTTTAAGCTACTATATCTGGGTTGCTAAAATCTAAATAAGTCCTACATGGTAGCAAAGTCTATATCGCCTTGCTACCATTTAGTGCTTGCCCAGTTTTTTGCTGCCCTGATATGGTTGCCCTAATTCTTTCTTGCTTGTGAACTCAAATGACACTTCAGAAGAAGTTCAAGTTTAAACAGAGCTCCAGATTTGGTCTTCTAAATGAATTTTATTTCTGCTTTTCATAGAACAGTCTTTACTAGTCAATGGAACTAACTTCCTTCAAAGAATTGGTATAGGAGCTATTTACTTGGTATGCCAATTCTACTAAGATGCCCTGGTATAAAGAATATAAATGTGTTAACTGTGAACCCTCAGGAGCAAATACACACTAGAAGTCAAGAGGGGAAAAAATCTGAATCATGAGGTAGGAATGAAGTCCAGGCTAGCTCCTGCAGCAATAAACATTTAACAATTTCTAGATAAGGCACCAGTTGGCCTTGAGAAAATGAAAAGGAGCTTTACTAATCACAATTTATTGAATTACAGAGGGCTAGAGATAAACAAGAACTATAGTGTTATCCAGGAAGAAGACAACCCTGAAATTAAGATGGCTCCTCTGAAATGAAGGGAAATAAATTATAAATCCAGTTTTGCTCCCCCAATTTTTTCTTTCCAATTACCTCTTTCCTTCACACCTTCTCCATACTGTTTGTTTTTTCTTTGCTGCTGTATTTGGGAAAGAGAAATATTTATGCATGTTCTTGTGTGTTTTCTAAGGCTGAAAGACAGTAGTGGAAATGCGCTATACTATTTACTATAAATAGGACAGTCCTTTATTTCAGAAGCAGCTGGACAGGAAAGGAGAGAAAAGGAAGAAAAATCCAATTGAAGTATTATAAAAAGATTAGTTTTTCCTAGAAAACGGTTCTAAACAACTGCTAATGCAAACTAGAAACAAAAATTAAAATAAACAAGAAAATGGAAAGAGAACACCTATTTGACCTTGACGAATATAACTCACCGGGACTGACAGATTACATCCCAGAGTTCTGAAGGAGCTGGCAGATGTTATCTCAGAACCAATGCACCACATCTTTCAAAAATCCTGAGCACCGGGGAAGTACCTGAGGATTGGGAAAGGGCTGATGTAGTTCCCACCTTCAAGAAAGGAAAAAAAACAAACCCAGGAAACTACAGACCAATCAGCCTAAAATCAATACCTGGGAAGATCCTGAAAAAGATAATCAAAAAACAGATCTGTGAACAACTGGAAGCAAACAAAATTATAACTGATAGCCAGCACAGGTTTGTTAAAAACAGATCATGCCAAATCAATCTTATTTCATTCTTTGATAAAGTGACCCAATTAGTAGACCATCGAAATGCCATGGACATAATATACTTAGATTTCAGTAAGGCATTTGACAAAGTAGATCACAATCTACTGCTTGGTAAGCTAAAAAAAGGTGGAATAGACAACATCGCCACCAGATGAATTTGTGGCTGGCTGACAAACTGTACTCAACAAGTAGTCCTCAATGGTACTATATCCACATGGAGAGAAGTAAGCAATGGGGTACCACAAGGCTCCATCTTAGGCCCAGTATTCTTCAATATCTTCATTAATAACTTAGATGAAGGAATACAAGGGGAACTCATCAAATTTGCAGATGATACTAAACTGGCAGGAATAGCCAATGCCCCAGAAGACAAGCTCAGGATCCAAAAAGATCTTGACAAACTTGAACAATGGGTCCTGTCCAACAAAATGAGTTTTAATGTGGAGAAAATCAAAGTTTTACATTTAGGCATGAAAAATCAAAGGTATAAGTACAGATTAGGCGAGACCTGGCTCAAAAACAGTAACTGTGAGAGGGACCTTGGAGTCCTAGTGGACGATCACTTGACTATGAGCCAGCAGTGTGCAGCAGCAGCCAAAAAAGCTAATACAATCGTGGGTTGTATAAACAGAGGCATAGAATCAAGATCACATGAAGTATTAGTACCACTTTATAAAACCGTAGTAAGACCACACCTGGAAAACTATAACCAGTATTGGTCACCATACTACAAAAAAGATGTTGAGACTTTGGAAAAAGTTCAGAGAAGAGCAACTAAAATGATCAAAGGCCTGGACACTAAAACATATGAAGAATGGCTGCAGGACTTCAGTTTGGTTAGGCTAAAGAAAAGAAGAAACAGGGGTGACATGATAGCAGTATTCCAGTATTTGAGGGGCTGCCACAAAGAAGAGGGCATCAAACTATTATCCAAAGCACCAGAGTCAAGACAAGAAACAATGGTTGGAAACTAAACAAAGAAAGAAGCAACCTGGAATTAAAGAGAAACTTCCTAACAGTGAGGACAATTAACCAGTGGAACAGCTTGCCTCCAGAAATCATGGGCACTCCATCACTGGAGATTTTTAAGAAGAGGCTAGACAGTCACTTGTCTGAGCAGAGGGTTGGACTAGATGACTTCCAAAGTCCCTTCCAACTTTGTTGTTGTTGTTATTGATATAAGTCCGTTGTGGTGAACCTATGGCAGGCGTGCCAGACTGGGTACGCAGAACCCTTTCTGTCGGCACGCACGTCAGAGGGACGCTCCCCTCACCCTCTCCATGTGCGCCTGATTAGTGGGAACTGGAGACGGTTGGGAAACCGAATCCAGCAGCGCTCTCGCGGGAACAGCTGCAAGAGCTGGGCAGGGAGAGGGGAACCTATAAAAGCAGGTTTTGGCGGGAGTGCAGCAAGAGAGCGAGTGAGCGAGCAGACGGCCTTTGGAAGCGATGGTGGGCATGAGTTTGGAGAAGACAAGTAGGATGTGGTGTCCGTTTGTGCTTTGCAGAAGGCTAGCGGGGAAAGGAGGACACGTAAATTTGGACTTTGGAGAAAGGGAGAGAGAGAGAGAGAGAGAGAGAGAGAGAGAGAGAGAGAGAGAGAGAGAGAGAAGAAGGAAGAAGGGGAGGGAGAAGGAAGGAAGGAAGGAAGGAAGGAAGGAAGGAAGGAAGGAAGGAAGGGTGGCCAGGCCTGCCCAGGTGATGCCGAAGCCAGCCAGCCCTTCTGCGGGAGCACAGGGGGAGGGGGGAGAGTGGCTACCCCCGAGCACCATGCCTGCCTGCCTGCCTTCGGGCTCCCTTGGCCTCTCCCCCCTCCAGGCTGGGGCTGGTCAGATTCCCCCCCGTGGGCACCGCTGCCCCATTCCTGGCCAGCCCTCCTCTTCCATCTTCCTCCTTCTTCGGGCGGACCGCAGCTTACCGAGCCAGGCAGTGCTCTCGCTCCCCTCTGGCCTCCATCTGCCCGAGGCCCGAGCTCGGTGTGCCCAGCTGGCCAGCGACGGGCTGGAGAGCACGGGACAGCAGCAGCTGCCCTGGCATGACAGATAGGCAGGGTGGGCACTCCCAATGTCCGCAGGGGAAGAAGCGACGTGGAGGCTCTGCGCCCAGTCCAGCCCTGGCATGGCACGGAAAGCGAGGCAGCATCCCCATGTGCAACCCTGTGCGCGAGTGCGCCCCCGCCCTGCCAGGCAAGCGGATGGAGGCTGGAGGGGAATGAGATCCACGGCTGCCTGCTGCGCTTTTCTGCCGCAGATGCAAATACAGCTCTTACATTTAGTTTATAGACCTTACATTTATTTCAGTATCTCATGTGAAATCAAGCCGCTGTACTGACAGATCAGTTAACATGGGAAAATGTTGTTTGTAGTCAGACTGTTTCATAGATCTGTTTTATATTCCTCATCCTGAAATGATTATACCCAGTGCTTTTTTTCTTTAAAAAAAAAAGAAAAGGTGCCGGAACTAACACACGTCATACAACCCTCCTTGCCTACCCTACAAGGTTCCATCCAAAAAAGGTGCCGGAACTCCGTTCTGGGCGTTCTATGAGAAAAAAAAAGCCCTGATTATACCAAAGGGTTTCTGCCCTAGCAGTGTCCTTATATAGTTAGTATGTTAGAATGAAACTCAAATGTAGTTGATTATTAATTCAAGCTGGAAAGTTCTAAGTTTTAGGGATTATTATGAGCTGCCCAGAGTTATATGAGCTAGGCAGACATAAGTCCTGTAAATCAATCAATCAATCAATCAATCAATCAATCCAATAAAGGTTAGTAGTTTTGATTTGTTTGCTTGCAGATCTCCACTAATTTCTAATAATGGCTGCGGATGTTTATAAGAAGAAGGATGTGCCGAATGAGTCCTTGGCCCCGACTGATGGTCAACAGTCTGAGAGGTCAGAGAGTCCAACCCCAGGATTGACCGAGGGAACAGAACCAGGTGAGTCACAGTAGACATACATTGTGCATTTTGTGTGGAATAATGTTATTACACACAACACACATATACAATCCCGTTATTCCTTTTTGGGATAGGGGATAAATAGACTGATGCCAAATGGGATAAGAAATAATGAGCCAAAGAAATTAAGGAATGAGATAAGGAAAAGGTAATGTATGTAATTTACTTGGACTAATTTACTTGGACTTCAGTAAGGCATTTGATAAAGTAGACCACAACCTACTACTTGATAAGATAGAAAAATGTGGGTTAGAGAGCATCACCACCAGATGGATTCGTAGCTGACTGACTGGCCATACTCAGCGTGTGATTATCAATGGAACTGCATCTACATGGAGGGAAGTGTGTGGTGGAGTGTCCCAGGGCTCTGTTCTGGGCCCAGTGCTCTTCAACATCTTCATCAATGATTTGGATGACAGGATAGATGGGAAACTCATCGAATTTGCAAATGACCCCAGCTGGCAGGAATAGCCAACACTCCAGAAGATAGGCTTAAGATACAGAAAGATCTTGATAGACTTGAACATTGGGCGCTATCTAACAAAATGAAATTCAACTGTGAAAAAAGTAAGGTTCTACATTTGGGCAAGAAAAACCAAATGTACAGTAGAGTATATAGGTGGTACAGTATAGATGGTACCTTGCTCAAAAGTAGTAACTGTGAGAGGCATCTCAGAGTCCTAGTGGACAATCATTTAAATATGAGCCAGCAGTGTGCTGCAGCTGCCAAAAAAGCCAACACAATGCTAGGCTGCATTAACAGGGATAGAACCAAGATCCCGTGAAGTGTTAATACCACTTTATAATGCCTTGGTAAGGCCACACTTGAAATACTGCATCCAGTTTTGGTCACCACGATGTAAAAAAGATGTTGAGACTCTAGAAAGAGTACAGAGAAGAGCAACAAAGATGATTAGGGGACTGAAGACTAAAACATATAAGGAACGATTCCTGGAGTTGGGTATGTCTAGTTTAATGAAGAGAAGGATGAGGGGTGACATGATAGCAGTGTTTCAATATCTCAGGGGCTGCCACAAAGAAGAGGGAGTCAAGCTATTCTCCAAAGCACCTGAAGGCAGGACAAGAAGCAATGGATGGAAACTATTCAAGGAGAGAAGCAATCTAGAACAGGGCTTTTTAACCTTTTCACCCATTGTACCACTTTTAGGATATGGCAATATCCGAGTACCACCAGTCGCCTAGCAAGGTGTCAAAAACCTGATGACCAAAAAAAAAAAAGGAAAAAAGTGATAAAGTACAGGCAGTCCTCGACTTACAACAGTTCGCTTAGTGACTGTTCGAAGTTACAATGGCACTGAAAAAAGTGCCCCCCAAGCCACAGCCGAGCAAGACACCTGCCTGCCCACTCGGCAGCGCTCTTCCTCCTGTCTGAGGTTTCCATTGTTGTGAGCATTTCTGTTGAGGATTGGTAGTGGGGGGGTGGGATTGGGGGTGTTTGGTTTTTATTCCCCCCGTCTGCTGGGTGGTTGCAGCAGGTTTTGGTCACTTCACATGACCCTGAGACACTGTGACCGTCATAAATATGAATCAGTTGCCAAGCATTTGAATGTAAATCACAAGACCCTAGAGATGCTGCAACATTCCAGCTGATCGGCGCTTCTTATGGGCTCAGCAGAAGTGCCAGAATCAGCGCCGAGCTCCAGCTGGAGCCTGGCACTGATCCTGGCGCTTCCGCTGAGTCCTGACAGCCCTGCAGCTCCAGCCATCTCTCGCTCAGGCTTGTGCGGTGCTGCCACCGATTCAGCTCATTCCCCTCCCCCACTACCACTTTTCTAGGATGTTCGCGTACCACCTGCCAGGTGCCAATGTACCATAGGTGGTATCTGTACCACTGGTTGAAAAGCCCTGATCTAGAACTAAGGAGAAATTTTCTGACAGTTGGAACAATTAATCAGTGGAACAACCTGCCTCTGCCTCCAGAAGCGGTGAATGCTCCAACACTGGAAGTTTTTAAGAAGAGACTGGACAATCATTTGTCTGAAATGGTATAGGGTTTCTTGCCTGCGCAGGGGGTTTATTATTATTATTGTTATTGTTATTGTAAATCTAGTTGATGGTAACACCATGCACTATACTTAAGCTAACCGTTCTATTGTCGCACACCATTGTTGTTTCTAACATGCCAATTCACTGCTTCATACATTGTGTTTGATTTTTTTTTAATCTTCCTTTCTGAGAATCTCATCAACTCCATTTGACAACACGTTTCTTAATCTTTCCTGTTGATCCATTCACTCTTTCTTCATATATATATATATATATATATATATATATATATATATATATATATATATATATATATATATATATATATATATGATATATTCAGAGAGTGTGGCTATGCAATATAATCAGTTTTATTTTAGATGATAGTAAGACCTTCCTCATTTTATGATATTTTTAATGAACATCTTTTTAGTGAGAGGGAAGACCTTCTATACAGTGGTAGTTTACTAAGAAGAATAAGATGGCAGCCAGAAAGCAGCAATTATTCTTGCCTATAAAATCCAGTCAAGTGACCTATTTTCCACACGGAATCCTCTGTGTGAGAACCATTCCTAAATAAAAACCTGCATAGAGAGCACCACAACCAGCAGATTGGGTAGAAATGTTAAATGTAGCACCCAGTCACACTAAAACAGTGGTTCTCAACCTGTGGGTCGAGACCCCATTTGGGGTCGATCGACCATTTCATGGGGGTCGCCAAGCAAAGCTGTCCGCCATTTTTTTTGTTCGCCATTTTTCCCCCTTTTCCGGCGGGTGCCTTACCTCCCTTGGGCTGGGCCAGCTGGTAGTCGGCCTGCTCCGTCTCTGCCGCTTGCCAGCTATGCCTCGGCCGGCGCAGGGGGGGAACCACGCATGCACGGCGCTCCCGGGCAGGGAAAGTCCTCGACTTACGACCAGTTGGGTAGTCCTCGACTTACGACCAGTTTAGTCCTCGACTTACGACCGGTTTAGTCCTCGACTTACGACCTGTTGGGGTCGCGGCATTAAAAAGGTTGAGAACCACTGCACTAAAACATCAACAAAACACTAACATTAAAAATGCCAAAACAATACGCCAGATGCCTAGGAAAGTAAGAGCTCTACCTGGGATCAAAATTATCATAACATAGATATCAGGCTAATTAATCTGAAGATGGTATTTTATGCAAATCAGAAAAGAAAGACTTTTTTTTAATAACTACCTGCTCTGTCTTACTGGAGAAGCTGCTTCAGACAGCCTGATTTCAAGCTGTTGAAGTTTTATATGTTAATGCGTGAACATTTTGTATTGGGCCCAGAAATAGATGGACAGCAGTGCAGATGGCGAAGTTATAAGTCTATGATTAAATCAACTCTAAAAAGCCACTAAATTGCTACCCAAAATCCTAGGCACGGGCTGATATTAAAAAGTGTGGTCACTTTCCTGGGTTTTATTAGGAAGAATAATAGTAACATTTCCAAGCAAATGTAGCAGAAATATCAACAATCATGCAAGAAAAGGAAAAAAAAACTACAAAACTGGGAAAAAATCATCCAGAATAATACATGAGCAGATAATCTAGATTTTAGACTCTGAGAATAATTAATCTCAAACCATATCTTTTCAGAGAATGAAAACCACTGTTTCTGCTTAATGGGCCATATTTCTGTGAACCTAAGACTCAATAGTCTGAGATTCTTAACTTGATTTCAGATTATTATTGGGAACTTAATGCTCAGTTTTTCTTTCACTGCTTTAAAATACTCGATACATCCAGCCTTCTCTGACTAATTTATTAAATGTACCTAAAGAATATTCATGCCCTATTTAGGAAAGAAAGACAGATAATGAATTTTAAGTTCCTGGGTAAGAATTAAAAACTTCTGAGCTCAGGTGGTACAATTATCACATTAAAATATTAAAATTAAAAGATCTGCCTGTTTTACATTGTTTTCAAAGGAAGAGCATCCATTATGGTTTACGAGTGGTATGGAATATTCATTAAAATAAATGTAATCTTCTAACCTTTAATATTTAAATGTAACCCCTCGTTCCTTAGTTAACACAAAGCACAGAAACAGATTTATTTACCATCTTATGTAGGCTGATGCATTGAGGAGCTTTGCAAGTCATTCTGTTCTGGTGCCTTTGTCACAGTTTAAAATTGCCCTCTGTTCTGTTCTGTTTCTGTTCTGAAAAACTGACCACTTATTCTGGCATTGTTTATCAGGGGCAGGCCAAGAGGGAGCCATATTTGTTCACACTAAGTCATATGAGGACCTAACCAGTACAGACAATACAGAATTGGCACCCAAGAGCCCAGGCGAGAGGGAAGAATCTCAAGGTGATGAGCTCAAGATGGAAGAGATCAGCAAAGATTTCAGTGAACTAAGCACACAACTTACTGGTATAGCCCTGGACCTGGAAGAAGAGATAAGGCAGGACAGTGAGGGCAATTTGGAACTCTCGCCACAAGCTTCACGTCGAGGTTCAGTCCTATCAGGGAAAGAAGAAGAAGATATAACCATGGAGGCCTGGCGCATGCATCAGAAGCACATCTTTGTTCTAAGTGAGGCAGGCAAGCCCATATACTCACGATATGGGTGTGAAGAGGCTTTGTCTACTACCATGGGAGTAATGATGGCTTTGGTCTCCTTTGTAGAAGCAGAGAAGAATGCCATCAGATCAATTCATGCAGGTACTAATTCACACATTTCTTCCTGACAAAGTAGGCCTGTTGGAAAGTAGAACATGGTTTNTGAGAGAAAGACAGAAGAAATGAGAGTGCAGAGTCTTCTGCAGAGATAATCAGTATGACATTGGCTTTAGGGCTAAAAGTGCTGATTTTTACACAAAACAATAAAAAAAATGCTCCTGTAAGTTGTTTATTTTTTTAATGTACTCACTGCCCATCAGGCTGTCACTTGACTCTAGGTGACTTACAATACAATAAAACAATATTATAAAAGATGAAAACAGTACGACAATAAATACATTAAAATTAACAAAGAAATAACTTAAGATGGATAGTTTAACAAGTTTAATAATTTGTTAATATGCCATTTATCTTGAGTTTAGCATCAAGTAAGTTATAGACGAACAATTAAGATGTTTCTGTAAAGAGCAAAGAGCAAATCCAAAGTCAATTTATAAAAAAACTGACCAAAATCCATGTTCAGACAGAAGAATATGACTAGATTGCTAAGATGGCTGCTACTGGCCAACCTTTAGGTGGAAGAGAATTAGTCAAAACTTCATAAGTAACAACTTTCAAAACCTAAGAATAAGTTTAGTTAATTCTCATTACTTTTCACAGAACTAATAAATCTATAATTTGTACCATTTTTGATTTCAGGTAGAGATTCATAAAATATCCCTTGCATGCAAAGACCAATAATTATCAGAAAACGGCTAGAGTACACAGAGTAACCTCCACTGAAGTAAAAAAATATTTTCAAAAAGGGCTTTAGGGTTACCACTGTAGCTCAAAATATTGACGCACTTTCTCTCATTCTCTCCCTCTCCATTTTGACTCTGCCAGATGGATACAAGGTGGTCTTTGTGCGCAAGAGTCCCCTGGTGCTTGTTGCAGTGGCTCAGACTCGACAGTCAGAGCAAGAAATTGCTCAAGAACTCCTTTATATCTATTACCAGATAGTCAGTCTCTTGACACTGACTCAGCTTAACCGGATATTCCAACAGAAGCAGAACTATGACCTCAGGAGACTGTTAGCAGGCTCTGAGCGTATAACTGACAACTTGGTAGACCTGATGGCTAGAGACCCCAGTTTTCTCATGGGGGCAGCCCGTTGCCTGCCTATGGCTGCTGGAGTCAGGGATGTGGTGAGTGCTTGCCTTCAGCAAGCCAAAGCTAAAAGCCTGGTATTTGCCCTGTTATTGTCAAAAAACCAATTGGTATCACTTGTGAGGAAAAGGGACCAATTCCTTCATCCAATTGATCTCCATTTACTCTTTAATCTCATTAGCTCCTCCTCCTCATTTAGAGAAGGAGAAGCTTGGACTCCAATATGCCTTCCCAAGTTCAATTCCAATGGTTTTTTCCATGCTCACATTTCTTATTTGGAACCAAACGTTGACTTGTGCCTTGTCCTGATTTCTACCGATCGTGAGGACTTCTTTACTGTATCTCACTGCAAGCAAAAGTTCCAAGAACGCCTAAAGAAGCGTAGTGTTCATTATGCTCTCTTGGAAGCATTACGTACTCCTTTCTACAGTGTCTCCCAGGTGGGAATTCCAGACCTTCGACATTTCATCTACAAATCTAAGAGTTCAGGACTTTTTACCAGGTGAGAGTCCATTCTGGGCAACACCCATCTTCCAGCTTCTCTCTAGAACTCTGCTAAAGGCAAGGATAGATAGAATTGATTTACTTTCCATTAGCAGGATCAATTTAGTCTATCTTGGATAGCCTATTTCAGGAAGATGAAATTTAATCTTGGGACATCAAGTTCCTACCGAATTAATAAAATAGATTAAATTACAAATTGACATGCACAATATGTCTCCAGGAAACAAAAATCAGCTCTGTCTTTAGAGCTATAGGTATTTGAATAATCCTCATAATAATTTGTTGGTGTTTTATGCTGGCCAGATTTCAAAACCCTGTGGCCATCAAATCATGGATACTTATACACTAAATAGCCAGTTTAATGAATAGCAATAAAAGTTAACATAGGTAGCCAGCTGGCACTATAAATGAGAAAGGCAATGGGATTTATTGCGTAATCCAGGAGCACCCAAGAATCTAGTTTATTGCTTAGTTGAATAGTCTAATCATACTTTCAGGACATTTTGTATGCTCTAGAACAGGGGTCCCCAACCCCCGGTCCGTAGACCAGTACTGGGCTGCAGCATGCCAGCAACCGGGCCGCACAAACAAGCAAAGTCCCATCTGCGAGATGCAGGCAGCACACAAAACCACGCACCCTTCGGTCCACGGAAAAACCTCTCTCCAGGGGAACCGGTCCCTGGTGCCCAAAAGGTTGGGGACCTTTGCTCTAGAATCCAATCCAAGTTACATCTGCAACTTAATTGTGAGGAGTTAGGTCAGTACTGTAGATCCACTTTGAAAATATTGTTTGTAGAATCCATTTTCTGATCTGATGTGGGAGATAATGATCAGATCTGTCTTTCCAGTCCAACAGTCTCTTTTGGGATGAAACAAAAAACTTCAATGTTACAGACAAAACACTCTAGTTCCACCTAAAGACCATCTGTATACAAATGTCTACATCTAGTTTGTGCAAAGAGGTCTCAGGTTTGTTGGATCACAGGCCACACTTTACCTTTGAATGGTGTGCTGAGACCTATTCAAGAAGTAAATGAGACGTGGAGAAAGAACCAGGCAAAATCAGGAAGAATTGAATTTACATGTTTTTCTCTTCTTTGATCTCAAAACAACAATTTGGACACACTCACACACACACACAAACACAAGATCAATTTTTTATTATATAACAAATACTTTGATGCAAATTGGAGTGTGTTTCTTTTCTATTTTTATCTTTTGCAACATTATTCTTGACTTTGAATTGAAAAAGTCAAATCATTTTAATGCTGGATAATAACACTGATATCTTACATTGTAACTAATATTGACAAACTATCTACTTTTTTTATTTCCAATACTCTTAAGTTATATAAATTGTAGAATGTCAAGAATATGTAATTATAGCATATAAAGATCATTGTATTGACATTTTAAAAAAATAATAAAAAATTAGCAACAGTTTTTGGGCAAGTTCTGAGTCTCTACCAGAGACTCTTTGGGAGATGTGGCCCTAGAACTACAGGTTAAATGCTTATTGTCTAAACAAAGTCCCGATCTTAATTCTCAACAGTCTTTGGTATTAATAAAATGTCAAGCTCTTATATTTTGAGATTCTGTTTTAATGGTAGCTCATCACAGGGGGGGACATTATTTAGTAAAATCACTGGCTGTAAATTCTGCTGAAGTGAGAAATTTTCTCCTTAGGCAAAAAAATAGTTATTTAATTTACCTTTATGACCAAAAGCATTATGCAATGAAAGTGTGTTTTTTCCAGCCCAGAGATTGAAGCTCCCTATATCACTGAAGAAGAAAAGGAAAGACTCCTGGAATTGTATCAATTCTTGCATAGCCGAGCTCACAACTCCTCCCGTCCTCTAAATAACATCTATTATACTGGATCCAATGAAAATCTCCTAGCCTGGGTAAGAATGTATTTCATTGCTGTACAATTGTAGTAAAAGCAGGACCTAATCCCAACATAACTTTATTATCTGGGAAATATATTAGTGCATTAGTACAACTGAAACCTTGCACACTTCTTCACTTAGAGCAAATGGCCCAATGAAACAACTGGCAACAATTATTTGTATGCAATAAAAACAAGAGGGCAATTTGCTTTGCATGTCAACAGTAACATGAGAGGAACTGCTTTACCCTGATTGCATATTGTAATAGAAATTTAAACTTTTTCCAGGTGACCAGTGCTTTTGAACTCTACGTATGCTTCAGCCCCTTGGGTACCAAAGCAGCAGCTGTCAGCGCTGTCAACAAGCTGATGAAGTGGATCCGTAAAGAGGAGGACCGTCTCTTTATATTGACACCCCAGACTTACTGACTGTTGTGACGTGGGCTGCCTGCCTTGTTCTGAACACTCCAAAACATCTTCCTGTGTCTGGTGGGACTAGACATAGTCAGTTTCCTTCTCTCTCTCTCTCTCTCTCTCTCTCTCTCTCTCTCTCTCTCTCTCTCTCTCTCTCTCTCTCTCTCTCTCATGGGGAGGGAGTTCTCTGGGTAGCAGAGCTTTTGGCTGACATGGTGCACACGGGTATCAGAAGAGTCCAATATTTCAGGATTAGTTTTAGATATTGCATCTAGAACTGGAACATGGACCTCCTGCCATCCTGTAAGTATTATTTGATATCTGTTTCAGCCTAAAAATATGCCCTTTCTACCATTTTCTGCATATTTTGAGGCTGTGTTAAACAAATCTTTTTCTCCATAGCCTATTTTCTCTGCTGACTTTCAGAACATAGTGGCAGAGGTATTATGTTATCCCATCTCTCTTCATCTTGACTAGTTGAGGGAAGGTAGGTTGATGGCTTAGCAGGTGCCTTCTCATAGGACTTTCCATATATAGGGCTGGACAAATGCACAGAAGGTGAGGCAAATATGTAGATAGTGAGGGAGAAAACGTTTTTATGTCCCTTTTATAGGAAAATTAAAAAAAATCCCAAGGAGGTTTTTCTTTTTATGACTCCGAAACATGTTTTGCTCTTTGAGATCAACAAATTTGAAGAAGTTCACAGATTGTCTTCAAATTGCTAGCGAAGGACTGAAGTGTAGTAGCAAAAGCAATATATAAATATTCTCAATTAGAGGCAGTCGGAACCTCTAATAAGCGGCATAAACCTAATAGTTGGGGAAAATATTTTATAAATTATTTTCATTCGTTCCTGTGAGCTTCTTCCTAGAACCCATTTATCTAATGCTTATTTTTAACTGGACCAAATTCCTGATTTTCAGGGATCTGATGAAACCATGTCCATCATGTTATAAGCCATGTCATCTCTTTTTTTTTAAACAAGGAAACAAAAATTCAGGGAAAATGAAAGATTTGAATCTTTGTTAATATGTGAATTCTCAAGCCTAACAATTACATGTATTTGGGCAGGAAGAGCCAGATTTCACACCATTGTTTCTCAATCCCTGCAACTTTCAGATGTGCCAACTTCATTTCCCAGAATTCTGTTTACACCCAGTCTTCAGTTATAGGAATTTTGAAAACAATAAGGCTCTAGACTCTAGTCCCACAGAAAGTTAATTTGTCATATGGAATGTTTTTGAAATGATACTGAAATGGTGCCACCTCAGAAATAAGTTTGCCATTATCATTGTCCTTCTTCAGAACAGTTCAAAACAGTCTACTGTCACTTTTTAGAATTGAAATTTTCAGTATCAATATGTAATGTGGTATGTACAGAAGTGGAGGAGGAAAGTTGTGCGGGGGTTTTAAATGTTAGAAAGTTTCTGACAATAAGAGCAGTATGACAATGGATCCGGCAACTGAGAAAGATATAATGCACTCCTTCACTGGACATAGTTTCATGGGGAAAGCTTAGACAGCTGTCTGTTGGGATTACTTTATTTGGATACCTATCTTAAAGGGTTGGATTAAGTGGCCTTTTCCAGCTCTTACATCTGTATATGTTGGTGCGTTGGGGGCAGAGGAGGGAGAGAAAAAAATAAACACCAAAGTAATGATAGGGTTCTTCCAGATACAACAGTTTTTCATGCCTAAGGTAGGACTAGAACTCCCAGTCTCCTGTTTCTAGGCCAACAGGTTAATCACTATACCAAACTGGCCCTTTTTTTCTATTTTTAGTTGCACACTGTAAGGTGCAAGTAAACTGTAAGGTTAAATGAAACTGAGGCCCAGTGAAATTGTACATGTCCAGTGATGGTATCATTCTGGTCCATTTCTTGGATCTATGTTTTCATCTGAAAAGGATTATTAATATTAAGGGTGATTCAGGGGGAAAAATGTTTTTAACAAGTACTTCTAAAAAAAAAATCAAAACATAATTGCCACAAGATGGCAGCAGAACACCAGATTGTGACAGATTTTTTAATGATTAATAATTATTAAAATAAAAGTCATAGTAGATGCAGAATAAATTACTACTGACAAATGCATTTCCATATTTAAAACCAGTGGATTCACTGTCATGTATACTGCTACTTCTCTGAATTTAATAAAAGTGTTTTATGAGAGCTTTTAGATTAACAAACGTACTATATCATAAGATTTCATGAACTATCAGCCAGTTCAACAAATGCTAAAACTGTATTATGTGCTATAATAAATTAAAATGTGGAAAACTCTTTGTTGTTTTGCTTTAACAAACTAGCACAGCTGCCTGTATTAGTTCAATATGTAATGTGATGAGTATATGAGTAGCGATGAAATGATGCATACGGTGTTTGGTAGAAGAAGTTAAGGGAAATAGTCTGGCCTTCCTGGACTGTGCAGTACACATTAAGGAAGACAGAAGCCTTAACATTGAAGTTTTACAGAAAACCCCCACACACGGATCAGTATTTAAATTTTGATTCTCACCACCCACTGGAGCACAAAAGGGGAGTTATCAGAACCTTACACCACCGAGCTGAAGGCCTGCCTACCAGCAAAGATGGGAAAGAAAAAGAACTAAACACATCAAGGAAGCCCTCAGAATGTGTGGCTATCCCAAGTGGGCCTTCATCAAATCCCCAAAGGAGCTCCTCCATAACAGACAAAGAAAATAACAATAAACGAAGCAACGCAGTCATTCCATTCGTTGCAGGGATATATTGAGGGAAGTCAGAGCCCCAGAGAAGGAAATATTAAAAAGGCAGAAAAATATATTTCCTCAAAAAGGATTTTAAAAAGCAGAAGCCAACCCTGCCCCCAAATCTCTCTATCCCAAACAGGAGCCAGCCCTATACAAATGCAGATGTAAAACTATCAGGAAAGCTGGAGCCAGAAGACAAAGACCTAAAATCTGCATATCCCACCTGAGATGGGACATAATAGGACTAACCCATTACCATCAAGTATACCAGAGAGTCACACCTAGACTCAGGTCAGAATACGTAACACAGGAAATAGCCTCAAAGTTCATGCCACAAGAATAGGAAACTATTCCAAACAAAAGGCTAGAGAGGGTATAAAAACCTACTGCCCATGTGCTCAGGTCCTTCTTTCCTCTGGTCTTTCCTGCAAGAACCATCCTTCTGCCTCTTCAATAAACTGTAACCTTCTTCCCAAAGCAGTCGCCATGTTGCTTATTTATTCCCGGCTTGGATGAACCAGAATGAAGACTTTACTTCCAACAATCTGAAAAGCTCAGGAGGGTCTTCAGCCAACACAACATACGTGTACACTTTAAACCCAAGAATACACTAAGGCAGAAGCTTGTCCACTCCAAGGATAAAACTCCCAGACACACTGAGCAATGTGTTATATGCAGTACAATGCAGTGAGCCATGTGCAGATCTGTGCATTGGGGAAACAAAACAACCATTTATAAACGCATGGCACAACATAGGAGAACAAACCCATCAGGACAAGATTCAGCAGTCCAGTTGCATTTAAAAGAAAAAGATCACTCTTTTGAAGACAGCCAAGTCCACAAGTGCTGGTTTGAAAGAGGGGTCAAAGAGTCGATCTATGTCAAAACTGTATAATCCTCTCTCAACAGAGGGGGAAGGATATGACATAATCTATCTCCAGTCTACCACACAGTCCTTTCAACAGTTCCAAGAGGGCTCCACACTCATTTGCACTACTCAGGTAACCCTGAGGACAAGATAAACCTCCAAGTGGCCTCAACGACTCTCTAAAACAGGGGTGTCAAACTGGCGGCCAGCAGACCGGATGTGTCACACGCAGCCCACCCCAGCTTCGCAAAGGCAAAAAAAGTCATGATACATCATGATACATCATGTGATGTGATCAGGTTTGACACCTGTGCTCTAAAAGAATGCAAATGGCTAGCTGTCTGCAAGGAATATAAATCCTTCCATTCCCCACTATCCAGTCAGAGATGAAGAAGCTTCTTGGATGAGAAGTGAAACATCTTCAAAAAAAAAACAAAACCAAGGCAGTCCAGTTGCCTCTTGAAAAACCATCTTTGGGACAACAATAAGAACAGTTCAACAGTGGAACCAGTTACTGAGAAAGATGGTGGGGAACTGTAGGAAAGTATTTGAGTTAAAAATCATAGAGATGCTGAAATCCTCCATAGATTTGCTGCCTTTAATTTATTCTTTGCAAGTTTTAAATTTTGAAATTCCAAGATAACAGAATTTCCATTAGGAACACCTCAATTGCCCAGTAGGAATTCATTTCCATATACTTTACTTAAATACTTAATGTATTATATATACTTAATGTATTATATAAATACTTAATGTATCATGTAGTATTTCAATTAATCAAGATATGCTATTTGAATTTTCTTATTGCCACAATGAAGACACGTTTCACAATCACACTGTTTTACTGATACCGTACTTGCTATATTACTAATAAAGGGGAATTGTCAGAACCCATTCTTTTCCTGGGGGGGGGGTGTCTATCTCATTTCTTTCCTCATTCATTTCTTTCTGAGGGTTCTGCCATTCTCCTGAGGGGGAGGGGGGGAAAGCTCTGTGGTATGTTATTCTGCTTTGCTACAATGTATCCTTTCCGCTGTTCCTACATACTTACTCTTTGAACTGTCTCTCCCTTGATGCTACCTTGGGGTGAGAAAGGAATGTGCCTCTGGTCATCTGGCTTATCTCTCTCTGCGGAAGGGAAGGTGCGAAGACCCAACAACTCTTCACAAGCTCCTTTCCCACAGCAGACGTAACACCTGGGGATTGGCCCATTCAAACTGACCGGATGAACTATTGGGGTGGGGTTTGCTTGGGACTCTTAAGATATTGATCTGAGCAAGAAACCCTCAGATCCTGCCTATCATGCCTGCTATCAGCTTCTCCTAATAAAAGTTCCTTTTGGAAAGAAACTGTTCCAAGAGTCCTGTTTTCTTGGGATGAGGTTTTGAAGCGGGCCCTGACACTCAGGGTCGTTGGTGCTCTCTGAGCTTGCTTGTTTTCTTGTAGGCATTTCATTACCTAAACTGGGTAACATGATCATCATCAATAGCACG